CCCTCCCCCTTCCCCCCCTCCCCCAACGAAACTTGCAGCCATAAACGCGCCGCAATAGTGATGGGTTGGGCATGCAACGGCAGAGGCGGGGAAGCCCTAGACTTGTCGGCCCAGAGGAGGGGAATGCCGAGCGACGTCCGAAACAGCTGGGAAGGAAGGCAGACTCCGAGACACAGCTGTAGTGCTGTGAAGTGCTTTGAACTTTGAAGTGGTAATCGGATGACTGTGACCGTTTGACGTTACCTCATGTTTTGCTCATGTCGTGAGCTGTGTTGATCTGATCTGATCACCAATGTGATGACTAGCAGTGTCTGTGCTCAGGCGGTTACCAGTCTGCCACCAGTGGAATGACCATAAAGGTGTCTCTGTTCAGGCTGTTCGCCACAGTTCACATTCCTGGTGCTCACCAGCACGATCATGGACTTGTATCGTCCAGCAAAGGGGGGTAGATTCCGAAGAAGGAAAAAATAACTCTTGGTGTGACCCAGGGAGTCCGAAACCGATGTTTTTCCTTTCTTTTCTTTCTTAAATGAGAGACGAATCCGATGATGTTCTGGGAGCATGACACATGTGGACATTGATGCCAGGGGTGATGTTCCACGTGGCTGGGTTCTTCCGTCTAAGATGCTAAATGATAGATGACGAGGAGCAGCAGCCTGAGACAGCATATGGTCCCTCGCAACATCGGCAAAAATTGGAATGATAGAGAGAAGATTTGCGTGGCGCCTATACTTTCAAGGATGGTAGGCCTAAATTGAGAATCAAAAAAAAAAAAAAAAAAAAAAGAGAGAGAAGCACAGGAATCGCTGAGCTGCTGTGCATCACTGCCATCTTCTCCTGAACAGAACGCCCGGTCATGATAGCTTTATTTGGGGCGACTTTCAGTCTAAAGTTCTAAACACAGCGATAATGACCGGGCGTTCCGTTCGGGTGAATACAGTGGGATGCTCATACAACCACACGGATGGTGGCTTTGCATATGTTTTTTTTTTAATTTTTAGAGAAAAAAAAAAGAAAGCCTGTCCTTCAGGACACCCGCTAAAATTGGAACGATACAGAGAAGACTAGCATGGCCCCAAGCCTGCGCAAGGATGGCATCATGACACACATAAATTGAGAAATGGTCCTACTCTCTTTTTTTTTCTTCTCCTCCCCCCCAAAGCCCCTTAATCTGTTCTTGCAGCCTCCATAGTTACCACCTTCACCCGAATAGGAGGCCCGGTCATTATCATTGTCTATATAGACTGGAAGCAGTTCCCAAATACGACTATAATGCCTGTGCATTCTTTTTGGCTGTGGCGTACCGATGAGCAGCAGTTCCCCCAACAATTATCCTTCTGTTCCCGGGGGCATATGCATAGAAGAGCTGTTCCGGTTAATCGGTGCGGACGCGTGTCCTATTAGTTGTGTAGCCTGGTTATATCAACCAATTTAACATAGTTTTGTGGCTCTGAGCACAACCATTCTTATCTGATTCAAATAAGAGAGAGAGAAAGCAGACACAAAGAAACACAGAACAGAAAAGGGCATGAACATGCACCCCCCTTGAAGTTCTTGAAAGGTAGCTATTCTTGCACTGGTCCCCTGTATAGCCTTAGGAAGATAGATAGGTAGGTAGTGCAAGCCTGCAAGCCTGCAAGCCTGTGAAAGGTGACTTTGAGAGAGACAAAAAAGAACAAAAGAAAAAAAAGAGACGAAGACGAAAATGAACTGGAGGATTTCTCTGGCAAAGGTCACCATCCCTTTTTAGGCATCAAGGGTCAATTGAATCTCATCGGAGTCTCACCCTTAAGCCATTATACCACCAGTACCTCCGAGCCTGTCTTTGCCCGACCCTGAGTTTCACTGCGCTCCGAGTTTTGCCGAGCCTGGGTACCACTCCGTTTTCTTTCTGGTACTCTCACGGAAAGAACAAAAAAAACAAAAAGAAGAAAAGTTGCCTCCGTGAACCTCAGAAAAGAATATAAAAAAAAGGAAACAAAGCTTTGGCCGTGATTGCAGTTGTATACATTCTTGGAAGTGGTAGTGTGAGTGTGCCCTCAATGAGGGCATCTCAGCCCGGTGGCCAGGTTGTCAGATTCCAAAAAAAGAATAAAAGGTGAAAAAAACGGGCACATGGATCCAGCCGTGAAAATGGCTGGATACATTCCCCTAAGTGCCAGTGTGATGAGCCTTACAATCCTCTGACAAAACACAGCTTGAGCAGATCACGGACAGCTTGAGCAATTCACGGACAGGGGACTCATAAGAAACACACGACCAGATATATAGAAAGAAAGAAACAAAAGACGGGCGCTGCGGCAGGTGGTTGCGCTCGGTCATCGCCAGGCCGGCTATGGCGCACGATGACGCAACGCTGGTGGGCTATGCTGGCGCTACCTGTCCTGGTCTTGGCTGATGACGTGTCATCTGCCACATGTCGTAGCTGAAATGGCAGACGCCACACTGTTTGATTACTGACGTGGCATCAGGCCACGCTGTCAGCATTGCCATTCAGACGACTTCAGAACAAGATCAGACTGGAACTGGCACCACGTATCGTCGTAGGGTTTCTCGTTTGGATATTACCTTTTTCTCTGGAAGGAGTCTATATTCCTGCCCAGCCGGCTGACTGGGTCCAGTCGGGCAGGCGAGGGGGGAAGAGCGTGGCTATGGCAGAGCAGCGGACCACGTGAATCACGCCCGTGCAAAGTTCTTCTTCCTTGCCCTGCATTTGGAGGGCAAGTTTGTGATTGATCTTTTGGCCACCGAGGAAGAATGCAGTATCATAGACTCAGAATGGTGAAGGTGACTCGCTACCGACTCCGGTAGCGCTCTTGTGCAAGATTAGCGCAGCGCTCTCGTGACCTTAGGATCACCGTGTTGGAGGTCACGTGTCTTAGTACAGACTGGAACTGGCGCCACGTGTAGTCGTCCGATTTCTCATTGGGATATTACCTTTTCTTTGGGAGGAGTCTATATTCCGGCCCCGCCGGCTGACTGGGCTCAGTCGGTTAGAGAGGCGAGGGTGGAAGAGCGTGGCTATGGTGGAGCAGCAGACCATGTGAATCCTGCCCATGCAAAGTTCTTCTTCCTTGCCCTGCATTAGGAGGGCAAGTTTGTGATTGACCATTTGGCCACCGAGGGAGAATGCAGTAATATAGACTTATAAAGGTAATGGGGGTGCAAGAAACTGGGTGGAAACAAGAGGCGACGACAAGGGGGAGCGAGAAGGGGTAAAGTTGGCGTGAGAAACGGGGTGGGGCGAGGAAGAAGCAGTGAAGAAGGGTAAAATGAGGTCGACCGATTGAGAGGCGAAGGGAACAACGGACGATTACTGAACGAAGGGAATACCAATTGGAGGGATCTCAGCGGTAAGAACGGCGACCGGGGGAGCATCATCACGAAGAAGTAGGGGCATCCCGGGGAGCAGGGATGTGCCGAGGAGCAGTAACATGCGACGAACAATCGAGCAACTCAGGTGAAATCTGATAAGACCGGATCGCCCAGTACCTAATCAAAATTGCTATCTGAATCTCATCCCCTGATCAAGCTTGGTATCTCAAACCCTGAGTCCCTTGATATCTCCCGCATCTAATCCTGCAATCCCCGATTCCGCCCATCCAGCGACGACCAAAAAAGCAGAGTTGCAAAATAATAATTGTAAAATAATAATGACAATAACCGACCTCACGTAGCTTCTCAAAACCCGAAAGAACACATTGGCATTGAATAGATCAGAAGCAAACACCTTCATCACTCGTTCTGTGTGTCGGGCTGTACAAGTGATCCTTGAGTACTAACTGCATTAATGAAGAAATCAGGGCGACAAACCAGAAGAAAAAAAAAAAAAATATAGAGCGCCCAGGACCTCCATACCGGCCAGGTCAGCACAGAATGAGCCACCACATCATACAGACCAGAGCGGGTCACCCTGTACACAAGCAGAACCCGAGATTGAGCTGCCGGCCCCTAACACCACCAGTACAGACCATGGCGGGACAGCAGACAGAACCCCGCATCACGAAACACAGACACAACAGGTAAACCGGGTCGCTTCATCTAGCACACAAGGGGAACGGGCGTCTACACCTGGTCCATCACACCCGTGTAAAGGGAGAAACATACCAGGATCAGGGTCTAGGCCAGGGCTGCATGAGAAAAGCCACCAACCGCCACAAAACCCTGTGTCGTTGACTGTGGTTGGCGAACGCCAAGGGCTCACGGCGTTGACTAACGATCAAGGAGCGGTGCGACAAGATGAAAATGCTGCCCAGTCATGGAGTGCCAGATTGAGGCAGCCCCCACCGCTGCCCCGAACAGAGAAGGCGACATCAATACTGACGACACAGCAACAGTGCCCGACTCTCATGTCTGCATTAACGGCGGGGCAGGAAGAGCCCGTGGGAGCCTTTGCGCTAACGCAGATCCGCCCGCTCAAGAGCCATTTCATACAGCGCCTGCATGTCCCACCGCAGGTGCGGTATCAGGTGAGAGATGGGGAGGTGAGGCCCGTCTCCTTTTTTCCCCCGCAAGCAGAAGCAATCAGAAATCACATATACTCCAAGCATGCTGTTCAGTTGGTCTTCCCGACCGAAGATTTGTCAGAACCGATGAATGAAAAGCTCCACTGGGCCCATGCACGGTTGGAGTCGATCAAAGCCTCACCTCAACTCGTGGAAGATCACTTCCTCATCGAAACGGATGGGGCCCTCACAATCACGATCATCACCATCTATGATCAGGATAGGAAAACCCTGATCAAATTGTCTAATAAGAGGTTCAAGGGACGAAGTGTTTTGATCCGCCCCTGGCAGCCGCGGGATCCGCTCTCTTCTGATGATAGGAGGGAACAACTAATGAAAACAAACTTCTGGGTGGAATATCGCTTCGCATCCGTATGTGTGCAAGGTGCCATTCTCGCTGACCTGGCCGCAATGGCACAGGTGATAGGATACATTAATGACCTTCCAAGTTTCCTGGCCAGAAGAGATGACAACCTCCTAGTGGCAATTAAATGGGATCCGAAAAAACAGTTTCCCATCAGAAAAGACTGGAAGTACTCCCAAGGGGGCAAATTTGTCTCAATACCGGTCAGCCACTCACAAGATCCGTGGTGCTACGCTTGTAAAGCCAGTGGCCACCTGTCTTCGGATGACACCTGCCCAATCACACGAAAAAAACAAACTAAGGGCATGGTGGTAAAACACCCGTCACAGGAGAACGTTTGGGTTCCCGAAGATCCCAACCTGAAAGGCTGGATCTTCAAGGAAAGCACAGACTCAGCCCCGACGATCTGGGAGTGGCAAATGGCCAACAGACCATCCACTTACCCGGAAGATGTGCTCATCTACAAGACTAAACTATCACTGAGACAAACCACCCCCGCCACCCCCGCCCAAAACCCCCCCGCTCAAGTTCAACCGTAGGTAAGTCAAGCAACAGGAGCAACGGGAGCTGGAGGAGGGAGAGGAGGGCGAAAGGCAGTGGCCATGAAATACGTCGCCAAAGCACCTCCCCCCTCAAAAGGAGGAGAGCCGCCCACCCAACAACCTACCAAGACACAGTCATCCCGAAAGACAGACTGGGGTAGTCCGGCTTCACCCCAAAGTGACAGCTCGGACTAAGAAGAGGATGCCCCTCTCGTTCCACTGGCCCACAAGCGCCGAAGGGGGACCATACAACACTCTCCCCCTGGGACGAAGAAGCCATCGCAGATCCCGATACAAACAGAAGTTGAGTCCTTGGTTGTGAGACTACCAACTCTCACTCCACAACAGGAAGGTGGGCGACCCCCTCCCATAGTGCAACTGCAGGCCGGGCGACAGCCTCAGCAGGAGATGGCTGTGACTCCTGGTCAGGGCGGGCCTCAGCAGGAGATGGCTGTGGCTCATGGGCAGGGCGGGCCTCAGCCGCAGGCAGAAGACCGGCCACCACCCCTCCCACTGGTTACTAAAGAGTTGCTCATAGTTGGGGACAATCGGAATGGTCCCTCCACGACGACTATACCCTATGAGCAAACACAGCTCTCCCCCGTCTCAGGAACAACACAGTTGCACCACGTCACCTCCTTGAAAATAAGGGATCATGCAGATAAGGGAAGAGGAGAGAAAAAAACACAGGAAGGCAGCTCCAGTACACAACTGGGAGCGGGACAACCGATTTACGCCAGTCCTCCGCAATCCCGTGTTCAGGTGCACAACGAAAATGGGGAACACCAACCCCCACAGGAGCCGTTGCAAAGCTCACTAATTGTGGGCCTGCCAGCATGGGAGCAGGTATTACCAGTGGACATCCAAAACAACAAGGACAGACCAGATTCCCAGGTACAGCAGCACCTCCAGTTAGTTGCCTCATCACAGTCGGGGTCCGGATTCCATCCACAGATGAGCCCGCAAGACGGCCATATATGGCTGCAACGGGACGGGGGGGACCAAGTCACCCAACAGCAGCAAGTGGGGCTGCAACAGGACGGGGGGGAGCAGGTCACCCAACAGCAGCAAATGGGCTCGCTGCTCATCTCTGACCATGTCACCCGCACTGTGAAAACAGTGATGGATCAAATGAAGGATCACATGCAGGACTATATCAGAAAAGGTGGCTGGGTCGATCGCATTGTAGCTCTAACGGGAGCTCTGCCACAAGAGGGCGCACAGGCAGCCGGAATAGTCTCAGAATTGTGCCCTGTACCTGAGCAAGAAACAAGGCCGTCAGAATATCTGCCCTTGACGCCTATGGACAACAGATCAACAGGGAGTGTGTGGACACAGATGGTGATACAGGGTGTCCCACCAGTACGAACACAGCCACAAGTGACTACTCCAACTAAGGGAAAACAAACAACTTTAAAGGGAAGCCCGAACCACCGGCATACAGACTATCACAGGTCCACACAAAACACAACGGAACAGCGATGTGGGGAGTCTGCCCTGCGGATTCTTCCCAGCGACTTTAAACGGGACATGGAGGTGGACCCGGGACCGAAGGAGGACCTCAACAGAGACTTCCAGATGGGGATTTTAAATGACCAAGGGGCGACACAGGGCCGCCTGGTGGAGGGGTCCCTGAGGATCGATCAGGGTCTGGAAGATCACCCGTCACCCCCGGCTGCGGTACAGTATCCGCCACAAGGAATGCCGTCTCAAACCTCCCATCACATCACCACCGCAAATGACGACAATCTACCCACATTAAGTCAGATGCAGAAGCGTGTCACAACAAACAAGCTGGTGCGCCAGAGGCTCAAAATCCTCACCGACGAGGTGCTGATGAGAATGCTGTTCCAAAACTACTCTCCCGGCCAACTAAATATCTCTCCTCTTCATTGGGAGAGGATAAGGAGAGCACTAATGTTCAGCCCTCGGGTGCTGACAGTGCTAGAAAGATACATGATCCCGGAGGCAGTTGATTGGGTGATAGTGGGCAGGGAACTTATCTATACAATTAGTGCCTTCAGAAATGAAGTCTACAATTACAAGGTACACACTCAGCACACASAAAGGTCTGAGRCCTYACAAGATCACAATGAGCCACAAGGGATGAACCAAGACTTCTGTTTTGAAGGAGTGGCATGGCCGGCGGTACTCATCCACGAAATTCATCAGTTACCGTTGTTCACAGACTCTGGCAACGGCGAGCGAAAGGGTACATCTCAGCCAACTGCCCAGTCTATTACATCATACGAAAGTAACCACGAATTGGTGCTGCCAATGGAAGTCAACCTGGGGGAGCTCATTGCTGGCCTCCCTGAGATAACAAACGATTCCGACTCTGAGTCGGAGGCCGAAGCAGAACAGGGATGACCTTTCGATCACTTGCCAGATCCACTCAACCTCCCACAACAGGTGCCCCGACTGGAATGTGGCACAGCAAATGAAAACCAGCAAAATCAGCTTGCCCCACAACCGCTGGCCCTGGAACCACACCAAAAACTATGGGAGGGGGACCAAAGGGAGGTTTCACTGGAACTAACCCTACAACAGCAGGGGACCTGGGACAGTCGGAACCAGGACAGCGACCATCACCAACAGCTGGTAGTCCCGCCCTCCCTGCCCGAGGTCCCTGAAGTGCAGATTATCGATCTCAGCGACGCTCCTAATAGTGATGATGACGAGCTCGCAGTTCAGCAGATGCAACAGAGCACACCCCCAAAACGTACTACAAGAGGTAAACTGGGTAGTCTGCTGCTACCGACAGGCAGCATAGAGCTCTCGAAATCCCCACCGACAGGGGTGGTCATAATTCCAATCAAACGTTCATCCCCAAACGGTAAATGGCGGTTGGGCCTCAGGACCCAAATGGGTAAATTTGAGGACTTCCAAACAGAATCCTCTAAGGAATACTCAATGCTGCAAGGGCTTACACTGGAGGGCTGGCGAGGCAAACAATCGCAACTTGTCACGCTAAGCAAGGTAAGATCTCTGATCAAAGAGAAGCAAGATCAGGGAACCTTGGGCCTAGTCTTTCCTAGAGATATTCCTCTTCTAGCCAGATCAAAATGAATGCCACATGGACAGCCTCTCAAGTTCCTTGGCTTCTGGCCAGAAGAGGAATATCTCTAGGAAAGACTAGGCCCAAGGTTCCCTGATCTTGCTTCTCTTTGATCAAAATGAATCTTAACTTGTATCTCTCAACTTGTCCATGTGGCGATTTCAATCAATTGCTCTGAAGCCAACCATTGGATATTCGATTGGCTTCGGAGCAATTGATTGAAATCGTCACTGCGCGGATCAAAATGAATGCCACATGGACAGCCTCTCAAGTTCTCAAATTCATCCAGATCCTATTGGAGGAGGACGTGCTGGGGGCTCATAATCAATGGGATGATGTCCCATTTGTGACCCCCCTGGATGCATCCCTCAGACAGTAGAGATCCACCACCAATAACCAATATTATGGTCTCTCAACAAAACAACGCAGGCTGCTTCAGCCAAGTGCACATTCGACTCAGCCACTCTCAGAATCAGTCGAACGACTCAAGGGGTCTACTGCTGGTCCCGGTCCCTACCCCTTCGGCCCCCTCACCCCCAACCCCTCCCTCCCCTCCTCACTCTCCCCCCCACCCGCAGGTCCCTCTCCCCGTTCGGAAATTGCCCCTATGGGAAAAACGACTGAGTCAGGCGGACATCGACATCAGATCCATAAACGYCAATGGACTGGGAACAGCGACACAAGCTAAGAAAGAYGCTGTCTGGAACATGATCAGAAACCCTGTCACTGGACGATGGYCGGATGCTGTGTGYGTCCAAGAAACGCACTTGACAGATTCGCCGAACCACAAAGGCAAAGCACAATGGATCTGGCCATACAAATCMGTTCAGGCCCCGGCAAGATCAGCGGCCTCGACTGGGGTAGCTRTCTRGATACCCCCGACGTCGAGACTGCARCCAATGGAGGAGGAYTGGGATCGACAACAGGGAAGGTGGGTSTCACTAAAAGTGAGAGCGGGAGATGMGRTCTTCTATCTATTGTCRKTWTATGCACCCTRCGAAATGCCACACCGRTTARCCTTTTTCTTAGCACTTCAGGATAGCCTCCCGAATGACGCTCCGGTGGTACTTATGGGCGATATGAACACAGCGCTGGATCCGGCCGTGGACAGAGCCTCCTCATCTCAAAMCCAAGARGTAAGGAACCCRGGGCCGRACGYGGTGCTCYTGACAAGAATCMTGRCCGAAGGACAATTGGAAGACACCTTCAGACTGCTGCACCCAACCCAAAGAGCATACACCTGCCTCAGACACAGGGGAGAGGCAGGCCTATCAAACTCCAKAATTGATCTTGCCATCATRTCCACTGACATGAAAGGATTGCTKACAGCTGCWGAAATTCTTCCCATTAGTGCGTGTAAATCGTTYGATCACAAGATGATAGCGATCGGGCTGTCCTTTCAYCRTCACATCATGAGAGGCCCGAGTTTTTTCAAACTCAACACATCCCTTCTGCCGTTGTCAAAATTCCAATCTTTGGTCAAGGAATTTTGGGCCCATTGGCAGTCGACCAGACCAATTCAACAAGGGATAGTGGAGTGGTTCAATGAGGGAGTAGCCAACCTCAGAGAAAGGGTAAAGAAATTCTCGATTAAGCATGCCAGAGAAAAGAAGGTTGTCCTCGAAAGACTGATGCTTGACCTTGAAGTATGGGACAAACAACTCTCTCAGAACCCCCTAGATACCCAAATATACAACAGACTGTAGGCTGCTAGGGGAGTGTTGCAGGAACATATGGGCCTCCAAGCCCAAGCCTGGCGAATCCAGGCGAAGATCAGAAAGGATCGGACAGAGGGTAAGAGGACCGAGTTTCACAGCTTATATTATCAGAAATATGAATACAAAGTGTTTCAAAGTTTCCCTGAGTTCAGCGCCCATCAGCGCAACACCAATCTCTTGTCAACTCATCCCTATGACTTCCAGTGAATCAGCACTACTCCTGCAGATAGTCTCCAAGTCATCAATGTGGTCACTACTCATCAGCGCCACCTCTGCAGGTCACATCCAACTCAGGTAAGTATCTTCCATAGTCGAACCTTGAATGAACACCCTCAGCCTCAGTCCCTTCCTCCTGCGATGCATACACACCCTTCACTCATGAGGATCTACTCTGAATACTACTCATAGCTACATACTAACCCACTACTACTAATGCTAACTCGCTGGGCAGCTATGGCTGTGTCATCTCCAATGTACAGGCTTCTTCTTGCATTCAACACATCTTCTACCTCCAGCGCTGTTCCTCCTGACTCAGCACACAAGTGCACCAGCACTTCCACGCATTGCAGCCAGTGGAGATCTGGCGAGAAATGAGGCTGGCAACTTTCTTTATAGTGCTGGCCACTCCTCGCTGGGTCTGCATTGGCTCAATTTAGCCTGTCCCTTGTCCCAGACCCTGCATTGCATGTGTCCCAGTAGAGTCCCMATGAAGTTCAACTGSTGCTGTGGCCTCTCGGCCTGTATTTGGACTTGAAAGTCTGAATCTGGACTGACCCCTTGACTTAAACCAGAACTGGGACTGTGCCTATTGACTTTACTTTCGGACAGGCACAACTCTCAACGAACAGACACATTTACTGCTTGAACAGACACTTTACTTTGCACGAACAGGTACATTGCCTGCACGTACAGACATACTCTTACCCGAACAGACATGACATACACATCTCCTGGTGAACAGGTAAGTCTTTTGACAATGCCCTTTGCCTTAGCTCTAGATGTGCCTGTTGATAGAGAACTTGACCTTTGACCTGCTTTCACGTTTTTGAGCCCTGGCGAGATACCTTTTCACAATGCTTTACTTTTACAAGGTCTGTGCTGCGTTACTTTGACAAGGCCTGAGGCCTATTTCGGGTAAAGGCCCTTTTACTCTCGCCGGCCTAAATCCGAAGTCCTCTGAGAATAATTTACCTATCAAGGATATGAATTCCTCTCTTTACGCTTTCGTATGCAGACACAATATGAGGTGCAGAATCTAACAACTCTCCTCTTGTAAACCAGCGATCTTCACTAGGATCCTGGTATGCAAACCTCACCTTATACTGTCGCTGTGGTCTGCCTCTACGCCCTGTGTGGTAAGTACTTTCTGCAACAATTTTATCCACATCATACTTTCCATCCATACTCGGAGGTATCACTGATCGACGACTTGGGAAGAGCTCATTCGTTACACAAGGTAAGAGCTTGGACGCATGGAACACTGGATATGTACGTAGATGAGGAGGAATTTCAATGAAATACGAAGGACCATCCACATCTCCAATTACGTCTAGAACCTGCCAAGGTCCTCTGTAGGTGGGTAGAAGCTTCTGAGAGATGTTCTCTTTAAGAGCAAACTCTTTAGACTTTACCCAAACCAAATCTCCTACAACAAATTGAGACGGGCGCCTATGTTTATTTGCCTGTTCAATCATTTGATGCT